GGGGGTGAAAGGGGCCATACAAGCCCCGCCATTGAACTAGGCCGGAGCCTTTGGTCATCTCTGAGCCGCCGGCGTCTCTCTCGTCTCCTCAGATCAGTCTGGTTTAGGTGTAGGGGGGGGCAGATATTTTCCACTGTGGGTCAGGCAGAGATGAAGACAGGAAATTGCCCACTCCTTCCTCTCATAGCTCTCCCCCCCTCCCCTGCACACCATACAGGAAACCCTCATCTGTGTCACCTACGCTCGGACACTGCACCTCCACTACTATTTTAAGAACAGACTTTCGTTTGGTATCAGTTCAGCTAAACCGAGAAAAAAACTAAAATGAACGTACCAAGAAAGAGAAAACCAGCAGCGTTCACAGATGTGTGTGTGTAGAAGTCGTCTCATCTAACGTGATGTATGGGGCCGCTGAGTGTCTGGGGAGAGACGGAAGAGCGTTATCAGGAAAATGCGCCATTCTGGTGTCTGAGAGCCGATAATAAATATCACTTCTATGTCACTTACCAGCATTTATATATATTGTACGTTCCATGCAGGACAAGCTGTCCGGGAAACACGACAGTCGCACATCCCGGGGCAGATTAGGATATTGCTGGGGGTGTTGGTGCAGCTGCAGCGACATTGTTTAGTTGAAGGTTTGCGTCAAAGTCAGGAGAAGATAACAGACGTACACCGTGTGAGTATACAGATTAGGGATGCTGGTTTTTCGGTATGGAGTACGAGTACCGATAATTTTTTTTCTGGTACTCGCCGATACCGAATACCGATACCGGAAGTCCCATTAAGGAAGCCAGGCGGCCTGTAAAGACTCGCCACCTGGCTTCCTGATCAGCAAGGAAGCCGTCTCCATGCTTCTCGTCACTAGGTGATGAGGTCACTAGGTGATGAGGTCACTAGGTGATGGGGCCGGCTTTCTGGCCAATCACGAAGCCGGGCGCCGTGTAATGACGTGGCACCTGGCTTCCTGATTGGCTGAGAATCCGGCTCCCTCCCGTCACGAGGTGATGAGGGCACATGAAGCCGGCCAATCGGAGAACCAGGCGCTGCGTCATTACATGCTGCCCGGCTTCCTGATTGGCCAGCTTCCCGACCAATCAGGGACCCGGGCAGCGAGTCATTACACGCTGAATGGCCGGGAAGCCAGCTCCATGCTCCCTTGTCACAAGCGATGATGGATCATGGAGCCGCTTCCCAGCCAATCAGGAAGCCGGGCAGCGTGTAATGACGTGGCGCCCCGCTCTCTGATGACGGAAGTATCGGGCGAGGCATCTGAGTATTTGGGCGAGTACTCCCCCCAAATACTGTACACACCCCTGGCAGTGTTGTGGTTTGTTGGCCAGCTGGGTCTGCATGTCAATGTATAACAATATGAATGGAGACACGCAGAACAAATGGGAATGAATGTCAGTGATTGGTTCATGTGATGCAAAGCTGCAAATGTTAAAGCTGAACTCCGGGTAGATCCAGAAGACACCAATGAATGCAGCTCGGTATCTATTACTTTGTCATTTATTTAAATACCCAAATTTTTGTCTTGGTATCGGCCTCTTACAATCACCTGTACAGCAGAGCTCAGACTGGGAGAGGGGGAGACAATACAAGGAGCCAGATATTTGTGCTAACAAGGGACATGCCCATAGGAGGAAAGAGCAAAGTGTCGAGCTCCTTAGTGTGCTGCTTCTATTTTCACTGTCCAGTCACAGGCTGGGGGAGGGACAAGACCTGTAAGTGTAACTTTATTGCAATAGATGTACATTTCTTTACAAGCATTATAAGTAGCTGCACATGACCCGGTGTGTCAGCGCCTTCCGTTCTCAGTACAGCCGAGCTCAATCTGGGAGTCAGAGAAGCAGCACAAGGAGCCAGCTTAGCTGTGCTGCAGTGCTCGTGTGCTAATAAGGAACTGATAGGAGGAGAGAGCAGAGTGACAGAGAGTGATGCAAGTGTGAGAAATCAGGTCTCCTGTCCTGTGTGGCAGAGCTGTGTAAACCTGGATGGGTAGAAATACAGATCTACGTTTCCCATTGGTGGCAGCGTGCCCGGAGTTCAGCTAAAACCGTCCGGATAACGAGATTCACAAAGAAGGAAGCGGGACACATTGTAATGACTCAGCGCATGCCGAGCAGAGTTGTCCTCGGTCACCTTGTGGTTCACCTGCTCCCTCTGTATATGAATGTGGTTGCTAGGCACGTTGGTACATGAGCGGTGCGCCGTGAGTGCAGCCATCTTGTTTCCCCCTCTCACTATTCCCTCCTCTCCTTTATTCTTCCATGTGTGGCCGGTCCTCCTCCCATCTCTTCCCCCTCTTCTTCCTGTGTGTGTCCTGGTCAGAGGAAGCTCCGCTGGGACATGTGAGAACGGCGTTCAGCCTGCGTGTGGCTTCACCCCCATTAACCCTTCTCTGTGTGTGTGGCTTCCCTTTCGCCTTCACAGCACTAACTCCACACGGAAGCGGTCCTCTTTGCAGGCTGGCCTGTTGGCGGCACAACCAGCAGCGTGTGAGATTTGTAATGCCGACATGAGAGTTTGAGATCTTCCAGCATGCTGGGAAAGTGATGGGACTTCCACTTTAAGATTTGTTACTGCAAAAAGGGGGGACAAGTCCTTTCCGGCACGTGCCAGAGATCACGCCGGGAGCAACCGTTGCCATAAACGGCTCTCCGTCCCCGGGAAGGCGGCATTCCCTGCACACTGACAGGATCATTGCATTGTCCTAGTTTCCAGCACGGTGGAAGAGTTCTCTGTTGATCTCATTGGATTGGTTGCAATTTGCACCGTGTGTAGGCTGCTGACCCCGCACATGGCAAGATCCGTGTCAGGCCCCCACACTGCAGAGATTGTAACACGTGTGTGCAGTCCTGCTCAAAGGTAATGCTCGCTGGTTCTGTGGTCTCTGCAGGAAACACGTGATGCCATTGCTGACCTTTCTCTCTGAAAACACACTAGATGCTTTGCTGTCATGCTGGTCCTCTGGCTTCATTATTTTCTGAGCTGATCATTCAGAGAAAAGATGCAGATCAGACGTGAAGAGGACTACTGATGTAACTTAGCACCTTCAGCCCACCCCCCTTTCACATCAGAGCCCCCCTTTCACATCAGAGCCCCCTCAGTAGCTTCCCTTCACGTCGGAGCCTCCTACTTTCACATCAAGAGCCTTCAGCCCCCCCCCCTTCACATCAGAGCCCCTACTTTCACATCAGAGTCCAATCATTATAAAATATCAAGGCACCCCTGAGGAAGAGGAAGCCAGAAGGCACCCGGGGTGTCATGCTTTGCACCATTACATAGCTCCAGCTACTTTCCCCACCCCCATTATGATCCTACTGCAGCCACCCCAATATCCTTGTAGCTCTGGGTAGAGTAGGTAGGACCCCCTTCCCTCAATTAGCCAGTCAGCAAGCCCAAGTGCTGACCCATGAGTTGGGCCATGCCAAGCAGTGTGCAGGGAATGGTCATTCCATCCCCAGAATTTTCCTGGTCCTCCAATAATCTCAGTTCAGCATGATGTGCTCCTTTACCCTGTGGGTGCATTTCAGTCATAAAGCAGACTCGGGGGTGATTCAGGGTTTTATAACAAATCAAAACCTTTGTGTGAAACTGCATGTAGCGTGTGGAGTGTCGCTTGCATATGAATGACAAAAGGGCTACGACTTTTGGTGTGCTTGGCAGCGTAATGTCTGGCTGGTGTGCAACATCCGTCTCTGTTCTACCACCAGGGCGGCGCTGGCGTCTGCTCACCAATCACAGCCTCTGCCACGGACGCTGAGTGTTTTGAAGGAGACTCCTCAAGTGAACGTCATGCACACAATTATTAGGTAGGTGCTTTCCATGCAGATCTTCCTCACCCTCCCCAATTCTAAACCCCGGTGATACAGTGTATATATGTCTGATGTTCTGTATGAACCCCTATGATGGTGTATGCATCTCTGTCGTGTCTTTATTTTTCCTCCAATGAGGAACCGGGAAACGAGTCGGGATGAATTCATCTTTTATTCTCGGCGATTGATGAGGCTTCTAATCGAGTACGCGCTGTCCTTCCTGCCCTTCAGGGTGAGTGATGCTTTGCTGATACCTAAACTAATCATGGGAATCTATCAGATATATAATCCGGGATTCCTGATACTAGATTTCTTACAGTCAGAGGTTGCCATGATTTACCGGTGCGATAGATCACCAAACCTGCCTTGGCTCACCCACGGGCCCGCTTCAAGGCGGCAGTAAAACCATTAGGTGGATTGAGATGATTTTGTTGGTGTACATCTAAGGTCTTTAGGCGGAAAATTAATTAATTTTGACTTTATAGCGATATAGTTAAAGGGATCCTGTCAGGGTAAAAAAGTGTCGGATTCCGGCGTTCTCCACCCTACGCCATGGTTCTATCTTCTGGTAGGAGACGCGGCTCACCGCAAGGGTAGGAGACTCGGCCCAGCAAGAAGTTAGAAGACGCGGCTCACCGGAAAGGCGGGAGACGCGGCTCACCGGAAAGGCGGGAGACGCGGCTCACCGGAAAGGCTGGAGACGCGGCTCACCGGAAAGGTAGGAGACGCAACTCACCGGAGAGGTAGGAGACGCAACTCACCGGAGAGGTAGGAGACGCGGCTCACCGGAGAGGTAGGAGACGCGGCTCACCGGAGATGTAGGAGACGCGGCTCACCGGAGAGGTAGGAGACGCGGCTCACCGGAGAGGTAGGAGACATGACCCACTGGAAAGGTAGGAGACGCAGCTCACCGGAGAGGTAGGAGACGCGGCTCACCGGAGAGGTAGGAGACGCGGCTCACCGGAGAGGTAGGAGACATGACCCACTGGAAAGGTAAATATTATTCCTCTTCTCTTGCAGGATGTTTTTGTTTGATTTTCCTTTTTTTACCCTAACGGTCCCAGGGGAATTTATCAAAACTGGAGCAGACAGAATCTAAAGCAGTTGCTCAGGGCAACCAATCAGCTTCTCTCTTCGGTTTGTTCAGTTAAGACTTGAAAATGAAAGAGAGAAGCTGATTGGTTGCCATGCACAGCTGCTCCAGATGTTTTGTCTGCTCCAGTTTTGCTCGATGTGTATCCTAAAAAGTAAGAAATGTGATCGTTACTTTGAATCTGTATTTTTGTATTAATGGCCCGCCGTGTCCAGTGCTCCACCCAACTTCTTACTACAGAGTTGGAAATTTATATGAAAGGAGTCAAAACTGATTCACTACCCAAAACTCAGCCGAAGGGACAAGAGTGTAAAAGAAGATCTGATGCTCACAATGTCGCCACCACTCTCATGTGATGCATACAGAGACCATTCTTTAGGCCTTTTTATCTAAGGCCTTGTTCACACCAGGTGCAGAGCGGATCAAAACTGCGTCCAATGTATTCCAATGGTATTTTTTGCTCCAGTTCACATCGCAGCGTTCAGTTCCAGAGCTGGATCTGCAAACGCATCAAAAACGCACACAAATGCCTGGAACGCACTGAAAGTCCATTGTAAACTTTAAACTTTTTTTTTTTCCAAAAACGTGTCAAAAACGCATCTAAAAAACTAGCGTGCGTGTGCAGAAACCTGACCGGATCTGCTCTGCATTTGGTGTGAACAAGGCCTAAGTGTCAGAAGGAGGAAACGGGTTCTGCCCCCAGCGACCTCTTCCTTCAGACACAACATTGTTCACTATGTGGACCATCTCCATCCTCGGTGACCTGTCTTCTCTCTCTGCAGAGCTGCACCGTTCAGACCCCGCAAGATCACGAGTACGAAGGGAGGACATTTGATGGAAAACGGGTGAGTGTGCGGGGAGGACATGTGGAAGTGTTCGGCATACAGATTCTGTAATCTAATAATTCCCGATTAAATCTGGTCACGGACAGTCCCCTCACCTGTATTTATATCTCTGCCGTGTTAGTGTGACGTGGCCCAGTGATGTTTTGGGTAGCTGAAGGTAGAGAATCGCCTGCAGGTGATAAAACCGGGGGAAATTCTGACATCACTTCCTCCAGACGTTGTATATAGTCAGGCCGACTCCATTCCCTGCTTCCTGAGCCATGTTTTCTTTGTGTCAGATCACCGGAGTTTCCATCCTGAGAGCCGGCGAGACCATGGAACCGGCACTAAGAGCCGTCTGCAAAGACGTCCGGATCGGAACCATTCTTATCCAGACCAACCCCAGCACCGGAGAGCCTGAGGTCAGAG